ACTTTTGCTTGGTTTTTCACATGATCAGTATGCATTATTTCCCCCCCTCCTCAGAAAACTCTGGTGCACTGGTTTGCTTTTTTGGGGAAAGTTAACCCTTCCTTAACTCTGCCCTCTCTTATATTAACCCTTCCTTAACTCTGCCCTCTCTTATATTAACCCTTCCTTAACTCTGCCCTCTCTTATATTTTAAACATTCAGAACCATGCTATGACTTGCAGGTCGTTCAAGAATTGTGATTTGAACTTTGGTTATCACATGCCCATCTTGCAACAGCCTTGCTTTTGAAAGAGTTGTTCCGTGCATCTGCAGGATTGCTTGTTATAGTATGCTTTTACAACTGCTCCAGAAGAATCAGCCCGAAAAACAAATACATAAATATATAGCTATTAGCAATATCTAACATCCTAGCCGTAAAATGAAGGAGTATGCAATACAACCCTTACTTTTTTTCAGCTCTCAGTTTCCCTCAGCTTTACTTGAGCATTTTATGAGCATACGTTTTTGGTGTATTTTTTCAATAAATTTTAAACTTTCTTACTTACATACTTGTCTTATATATTTAGCTATTAATGTTATTTACCTATTATTTCTGTACTTATTATTTGTTTCTCTTCTGCTTACTTCTCCATCCTGTTTTTATTTTATTTTCCTGTTCCTTGGCTGCTGTGATTGTGCCTTCTGTGAGGGATGTGTGCCTGCAGTGAATGCCTTCCTACACTGAATTCCCTAAAGCATTTGGGATTATTTTGCTTTGGGTGGGTTCATGCCCCAAGCACATAGTCTGTTTTCGGACTTCAAGCTCCACATAAAAACAAACAAACAAACCAACCAACCACAGCTTATGCACCCGCACAGGAGGTTACGTTAGCTAAATTTGCAGGCTCCGTTTCAGGTCTAGCGAGCCAGGCTATCTGGAGCCCAAGTCTAAGTCTGTCTTCTACCCAGTTTGCAACCGCTGCCGGAAGGCTCTGCAATGCCAGTCAAAGAGGTTACTTACCTTAATTAATCTTTGATTAATCTTTAATTAATCTCACTCTCCTCATCCACTTTCTCTGTTCTTCCAAGGTCTCAGGCAGAGGATTGTGCGATTAAGGGAGAAACTCAGGGCAGCTGGGGCCATTCCCTCTCCTGCCCCATCAGGATCCCCTCGGAGCCAGGGAGGGTGAGCAGCCACTGAACAGGGTACTCTAGAAAACATCTTTAAGCTTAATTCCTGGGGCACAGTGCTCCATGCACGGGTGCAAATATATGGGAGTTAAGGCATTTGTAGGTACCTTGTGATGTGAGCTTGCCTTTGTCAACGCATTTCATATTGGAGACAGATGTAAGAGTAAATTTGCGTTAAACTAGCATCCCATTTGAGTGTACTACAAATTGATGTTTTGGGCTGTTTTTGAAATATTTCTGAAATTGAATGTGTACTGAAATAACCACTCTGCTGCAGTCAGAGCTGCTTCTGCACTGGAAGAGCTGAGGGACTGCATTTATTTATACACGTCTACTGCGTTCTGCCCCCTTCATGAACAAAATTCTTCTCTCACCTTTTTAAATATAACTGAAACAGAAACTGCTTGTAATGGCATCAGATAAACGTTACATTTACTTCTGTTCGAAACGTTCGGAGTTTTGCCAAAAGAAGTATTTCCAATTAGTGGGGAACCTATGTTTTCCAGCAGTGGTCAGCTGGATGAGGTTTGGCTGAGAGATGCTTTAACACGCAGAGCTCTGCTGCAGCAAAGCCCGACTTGTTTATGTAGCTTTTTATTTCTGGTAGTGACACCATAGCTATGATATCTGAGTACTTGTAAGTACTCAAGAAGAAAAGCAGTTGATAAAGAACTTTGTGTTTGTACAGCAGCTGACTGTAATGAGATCTTAATTCCGACCGGGTCCATTTGAACACTTTTTTATAAAATCACTAAGACCCTCAGAAGCTTAGTTTTTTAAATCTTGGTGGCTGTGCACCGTTCAGTGGAGTTTATCAGACACGGCAAGCTGGGGGGGGGGACAAACTTGACATGTAAGCCTCCTGGAAATCACTGCACCTGCGGAAGTATTGGCCCTCTGTTTGCTGGAAGGCCTTGCTCTTGGTGAGCTTGCCTGAACTAGAATGGGACTTTGTCAAACAACGTCTCACGGGAAGAACTGAGAGATAACTAAACAGGGACTTTGTTATGAAGGTTTTTGCATTTACTTTGTCAATTCCAAGCATTTACACTCTTTGAGATTTTCATAGTTATCAGTTTGAGTATGGACTTTTTAAAAAAAAAAAAAAAGACGACGACTGAAAACCCGCAGGGAGCATGCGTCGCTGCGACGCGTCCCTTGTTTACTCGGCGCTGCTCCATGTTAGCAGCGCGCCTCCGAAGAGGCGCACACCGTGCTAGTGCGGGCCCAGGAGAGGGAGCTCACCGATCTCTTTTGGCAGCCTCGAAAGCCTCCCTGTCTGCAGCTGAGCTCCATGAATCTAGCCGCCGGTCTGCGCCGGATTGGGAATGGCCTGTGCTTCCATCCCATACGGGCTCTTGAGTCTCTCGTTGGGGGAAACTGTGCCTGCAGATGAATGGAAGGAGGCCAGTAAAGTTTCATTTGTTTTTTTCTACAGTGGGGTTTAAGCGTGAGTCTGCTTTGCTCAAGGGCCCGGTTTTGTTTGTTGCTGTGCAGAAAGAGTGATATTGCCAAACTGCTGTAGGAGCCTGCACGGCTGCAGGACAGGAGTACTGCTGGAGATGCACGCTTCCATAGTTTTAGAAATCTGTTTAAAACAATGTGGAGAGAGGTGGCATCTATCTAAGGACTGTCAGCAGCTCCTTTGGTCTTCAGACTGGCAGCGAATCTGAAGGGTGCAAGGGGAGCTTTGCGACTCCCAGGCCACCCCAGGGCCTTCTGGCCTGGGTTGAGCTTCGATCAGAAAGGCTTAGTGCAGTACCGTACTGCAGCAATGCAACTGAAAACCTCTTAAAACTCACCCGATA